AATCTTATTTTCCTTCTAAAATTATATTTATTTCGTTACAAGGAATTAAAATTCTAATATGTTTGCCATAAGTAGTATATATATAAAACTTGCTCTCTTACTGCACCTGAACAGCATCCTTCAATGAAGATGTTTGTTGTCATGGGGCACTTTAGTGTAGTTTTACAAAATCAAGGCTTATTATGGTGTAAACTGCATGCACTCTACCTCTCCGTCCAACTCCATGCTTATGCTAAAAGCAGCTGTGTTTGTGTGTGTGGTTTTGGGGAGGGGCGGGGCAGAGAGAGATCAATGACGGGAGGGGAGGCATGGTGGCAGTTCAACATGTCAGGTTGTGTGGAGGTTTTTAGGACCCAAATACAGAGATGGAAGCTGAGGAGGTTTCTTGCAGATTAAGTTATCCAAAGAGCAACAGAAGCAAAACTCCACCAACAAAATACAGAAAAACCAAAATCAAAGAGACATCAGGGAAAACACACATAGGGAGCCAAGAAGTGACTGAAGAGGAGGAGTATAAATGTCAAACAAAACAAAGACAGGGATAATTAACTGATTGGAATCAGGTGTGGACAGAAGGATCTAGAAGGGAGCTAGTGGAAGGAGACTGATACAATGAGGGCAACAGAGGGTAAACAAGAAATACATAAGAACTCAAATACAACCAGAAAATAACACAAAATGGAAATGAAACCAATACACGACAAAAAAATAGAAAAACATGAATCAAAGTGTAACTGAAAAGTAAAAAAAAAAGCAACAGAATCAAAAAGTGCAGAATCAGCACATCACAAAGTTTCTTTAAGCTGTTTGCAGCAAAAATAGAATTTTATAACAGCCAGATTTTGGCCAATGTTTATAAACGAGCCACACCTTAAAATCGTCCTGATAAATCAACCAGCTGCTTAATCCGTTGGGCTCTACTATGAATGACAGTTCCAATCCCTACAAATCAAGGCATAAATCATGTCATTAATCACATCATCTTTTAATCAGCATGGCAACTGTCAAAATTTGACAGTTCTGAAATAATGTTTAGTTTTTATTTCTATAGGGAGCTATAGTCGAAATCACCCATTGCTTAAAACTCCTGCCATTATTTTGCAGCTTTTAGAAAAATTTTTATCATCAGTAAATTTCAGCATGTGAATTCTGAACATCTTTATCAGGAATTACTTATTAATGCTTTATTGCTTTTCTGAGGTCTTATTTCTTTTAACTTCACAACCTGATAAATACAAGATGGTTTTTTTTTTATGTCCTCATACATAAAAATGAAAGAGGATGTGTTTATGTATCACCATGAGAACAGTTAATAGCCAGAGACAGGATCGATTCTTCACACAGAGCTAATGCTTTTGATGAGTGAAGTTGATGAAAATAAATGCTCAGCATGCAAGTACTTTAACCCAACTGTGTTGCTTAGCAACGATCTCAGAATCTGCCTCTTTTATTACTTTTTTTACCCAAAAAAGAGAAAAACAAAACAAAGACCAAAATCTCCAGACAAAAATTCCCTGATTGAGTATTTTCAAACACAAAGGAACAAATGATTGCATTCAGAGTGCAGCGGTCTCCTCTGTGAAGTGTTTGTGTTTCTGACTCTGGCTTCCATATGAAAACGCTGACGTGAAGTAGAAATGATAAGAGCAGCACAAAAGATTTGATACATTTTTCATTATAGTCTAACACAAAGAAGAGAAATAAATCTTTCAAATTCTGCTGCCAGGTAAAAACACAGATTAAAGTTTCAGTAATATTTCTCTAACTTTGAGTTTTGTTCCATTGTATTTAGTGTAATCAAATAAAAGAAAGCAATCAGCATCAAAGTGCAGAAAACCCCTGGATTGATCTATGTGAGGAGACACTCCTATAGTGCTAAATTAATGAGGATGTTTATATTCCAACAACACTTGGTAACTATCTTGTTTTCTGTTTTAGGAATATTTGCAATTTAAGTTAATTCTAAACATCTGACATTATGTGTTTTTAAGCCCTTTTTAAAAAAGAAAAAAGGCTTGAATTGTACTACAGCACGGTTGGAAACCTCAAAAAACACCATTGCTTTTATTTCTGCCATAAGAATAAACTTAGGATGCAGAAGCAGAAAACTATTGATGAGGGAAGGGGGAGGGCAAAGATACCTGAAGCAATGATACTCACATATTTACGAAGCCATAACAGATGCAGGAGATTTTTATGGGATTTAATTTGCCTTGATTTATCAGTCTTCTAACTCAAAAGGATAGATTCAGATTTGTTTGCTTTTGTTTGCCAACAAGTTGATTACTTCAAATGACGCAAGTCCAACTGTTCCACTTTAATGGCTGTACTACTGTAGAAACCATTAGAGGGTTATATTACATCATACTCAGACGACAAGCAATATTTGCATATTACGTAAGCACCATCTCTGTATACTGCTACACTCCTCCCCTCGTGCATGTTCTCATTCTCACTCAAATAATTAAGTTATGTGTGCATCTTTGTACACCGAACTGCAATTCCAATCAATTCAATTGATCATTATACATCATAACTCTATAAGGATGAACAATATTTAAGTGACACGACAGTCAATTAGGTGTGTTTATTTTTGAGGTGTATAGACCATTTAAAATATGGTTTGGTTCACTTCTGTGTAATCTTTTTGGATAGATGTGAGCACACAATTTGCACTAAGGTTCAGAGCAAAACAACCATAATGAGACAATTTGGTGGAACAGAATGTGATCCAGTATTGATCCAACACAGCCCCCAGGTGTGCTTTGTCACCTTGAACAAAACACCTTCCTGTAGGCAGATCTGTGTTGCATTTTCAAAAGCAGTAGAACAAACAAAAGTGCAAAAAATGGTTGCTGGTTCATTTTCTTTTTCTTATAGTTTAAAGCCCCATATATTTTTAAGCTGTCTTCTCCAAATTCATTTGGTGTACTCTCAGATGAATAATATACTAAGACAATTGTTAAGAAAGGAATTGCATTCATTATTATGCATATTGCACACATTGGTTAAACCAGTTACTCTTTAACATTAAGATATTTGACTTACTTCTACATTTATCACTGAACAACTGTTTACAGAAACATTTAGACTAGATTGTGGAATACTATTATGTTTTATGTGATATTGTGCTAAATTTATGTAACCCGTATTTCTAAAAGCTTACTAACACCTTTTTAGAATTTGTGGTTCCTATGGTGTAGCAGCAAAACTTCTCATGTTTCATCTGCGTCTGTGCATCAGTCTCTCTGTCTCTACTCTTCTCCACAGCAGTTCATTCTGGCCTTATTATGCTCATGTGCTCAGCTGAGACTTTCATCATTAATTTTGCTCCTCAATTTCAGTTTCCTTCAGCTAGTTCCTTGTCTTACATCTCGCCTTTTTTTTGTGTGACCTAGTCTTCTTGCACACTACTGTACTTGTAGATTTTTGTCAACTATCATCATTAGAGCCTTTTACTCACCATGCTGTTTTCAATCTTTTGTCTACATTAAGGTCATAAAACATATTTGGCATACATCTCAATTCATTTATTTTATGTCTTAGCTTTCCTCAACCTACACTGTTTACACTGCAGTCTTTGTCATTTATTTTTAAGTTAGAGTGATTGGAAATTTACCCACCTGAACTTGTTTCCCTTAGATAATATCTGCACAGAGCAGTCCATCATAATTTGAGTCAATTTTTCATCAGATTAAAATTCAAAGAAGCTCAAGCTCATCATGTTACCTGACAGCAGCAGAAAGATTTGGACAGGTAGATGCAGACAATGATTATGACTGAGGGACATTCTTCTTGTTTTGGTACATGTAAAGGCATACGAGCCGGTAGCAGTAAGACAGGCATAGCAAATAAGGGACAGACAGTCTGACAGACATGCGGACAAAGACAAAAGAGAAGAAACAAGACACACAGAGAGACAGATTAAGAGACAGACAGATAGACGAACATATGACAGTAAACAAGTCAACCCCTCCCCCCAAACTGACATCCTCAATTACTTCCAATGCAAATCATCCAGTTTCTGACAATTCAAATCAGTTGCACGTCTAAAATGCTGTTCTGTGTGTGCATGACTCAGTTACTGTTTTAACTTTTTATATAAAATAAAGAGTAGGAAAAGGAAAGATTAATAAGACAGAAAGAAAGACATTATACCTTCCCCTTGCTAAGAAAGACTTTCCTTTCTTTCCCCTGTTTTTTCTTTTCTTCATTTTCTTTTCTTTCTTAATGCTCTTGGAAATATTAGTTATCTAACAAGCTGTCATTGAACAGTTGGGAACTCCCTAATTAATTGTAATAATGGAGTATATTTTTTATACTACTATATATTTTAAATTTCCAGAATTTGTATTTTTGTTTCACACTCACATTTTTGTAGTGAGTGAACAAATTTACTTAAATTATTACTAACAGTGTTAAAATGTAAAAAAAACAAACAAAAACATATTTTTTAATTATTTAAACAGTTTAGCTTTAATGTAGTTGTTAAAAAATAAAAATAACTCTCAATATAAATTCTCCTTATGCTCATAAGGTTTAAGGAGCACATCAGGTTTAAATAAACACATAGTTTATTTAACTTGATTCCTAGAACTATCTAATTTAACAGGATATTTTACAGTCAGGTGTCTGGGTTTTAATTTGTTAACAATGGTGTCTGGAGAAATTACACATTTAGGTCTTAAATCATTTTTATTTTCATGATTCTATTTTTTTGTTATTTCTAGAAATAGACTTAAAATGAGTTCAAAAAACATTATTGCACATTTTATGACTAAACATGCTATGCTTCATCTTTTAAACACTAGATAGTACTGTAAAGTAGTTTTGAGTTGTTATTGTGTGTATAACTGTGCAAAGATTCATTTGTCAGAAATGGATATTTGTATTCAACAAATATTTCATATCCCACTCTCTTGTTATTTGTTTTCAACAAATAAATAACAAAAATAATTAATCCCATGCTGGTGTTCACTAAGTGGACACTTAGAGTGTACCTGAGAGGCGATCCTTTGGGAGTGGCCACACCATAACCCTTAGAATCGAGGTTTCCTCCTACTTTCATGGTGTCGCAGGGCTTCCTCTGCTCAATGTATTCATTCATGGAGGACTCTAGTAGGTAGGCATACTTCCCCTTTGACTTTCTGACGCGTATTACACCCTCGTTGGTATTCTTCACAAACACTGATGGGTCTGCACTGCGCATGTATGACCACATCTTCTCAAACACAGCGATCTTAGACCTCTGAAGGAGTGGAGAGCAAAGACAGAATGAGGCTAAGTTAATAAAAACTAAATTTGACAGGTTTTCCACTTTTTTAAACTTCATCACAGCACAGAATCTAATTTGATTCAAATGGAACTGGAAACACGAGTTTCTGGACCATATTAAGTCCTAATTTCATGCCATAAAAAAACTATTCAAAGCAAAATCACACCGGTTTTCACATGGTAATCTTGCCTCAGGTTTTACTGGGGCAAGACTTAAGAAAGTACAAAATAATCTAAATGGTCTCTTTCTTCCGTAGTTCAACAAAATTCAAAGCCTCTGCGTTAAAGGAATGGCTTAAAATTACTTTTCAAAAAACCCTTTGGCATTTGACAAATTAGTTCTTATTAACTGATGGCAATGCTGATTTTCTTTTACAAAAGCTATAAGAGGAAAATTCTATTAAAATGTACAACCCCCGCCTAAAGATATAACTAACATTAAATTCTTAATAATATTAGACTTTAAGACTAATTCAATTTTACATCTACAGCACCAAAGTAAAGTAAGTAATGTTTTGCAAAGAGAGTGAAGTGTTGAACCATGTGTAACAAAACGCAGGTATCAGGAATGAACATGCTCAGTCACCCTAAAGAACTCTTTGGTAGAACCTCCATCAAGGGTACCATAGGCGATCTCAGTCTGCTTTGCCAGGTCTTCTGCACTCTCTATAGGGGACACCATCCTCTCCACAGTAAGGAAAGCTGCCAGGTTGGCTGTATAGGATGAGATGATGATGAGGGTGAAAAACCACCACACCCCTCCGACAATTCGGCCGGACAGAGACCTTTGGGGAAAAATGGAAGATAAACAACATTCTTGAATGAATTCAGGAAACGCTGTGTGGATTTTCTGGACTTGGATCTACTCTGTTTAATGGTGACTGTAGAGGAGGTAATAGGAGTCATTTAATCAGTGTGTCTGAGTAGAGACACAACTACAACTTATAAATAATAAAAATTAGATTTTGTCAGATGAATGCTTCAGTTTAGCCCTCTGCCCTGTTAAAGTCTGATAAGTAGAATGGCCGGCCAGTTAAAGGGTGCCAATAGGTCAAACAAACATTCATTACAATTACAGTTTGCAGAATACCACCTTGGAAAAAACTTTTTACTATGAGTCAAAAGTGCTGCAGCAGCAGTTGGTCTTGGGTACTACTTTGGTAACCAGTAATCTCAGAATAAGACTCACTTTATTTAACCAAAGTTTAACAAAAACAATCACAGACTAAAAAAAAAAAATGTGTCCCAAAGAGTTTCAAGTTCAGCTGCTACATACAGTAAGAAAGAAGCATCAGAATTTAATGAACCCCCTGCTGCTGCTGGGGGTGTAATGTTGTGGACATACTTTTTCTCCTTACCAACCATTCAGCATAATTATTTCTGACCATATCTCTACTTCTTGACCTCACTATCCTCTGATGAGTACTTCCAGCAGTAATGTCCAAATACTCAAATCTGCTTCAAATTTTCTTGGAGTAAATTCTACAGTCAAAAGCTTCATTTTAATGGTGCCAATCAGATAGAGCTATTGATCCTGACGTTACAATCTACCATACCGTGCCGTACCATACCGTACCGTACCATACCGTACCGTACCATACCATGCTATACCATACCATCTTTATTTATGAAGCACTATACACCGAAAGGAACAAAGTGCTGTACACAATCATAAAATACAATGCAATTATAAAAATAGCAAAGATCAAATAAAAAAATACATATTAATTTACAGACACAATAAAACAAAGTGAACCTCTCAGATTGCACCAAAAGCCAAAGAAAAAAGTTGGGTCTTAGGAAGAGACTTAAAAGCAGCTAGTGAAGAGGCCTGTCTTATGCCCAAAGGAAGATCATTCCATAGCTTGGGAGCTGCCACAGAAAAAGTACAACTAGCTCATATGAGTTAGATGGATTCCCAAAATCCTTTGACATGACGTATAGTCTAAGACTACTTCATGGAAATCAACAAATAAATATTGCTTTACATGTACTGTACGGTAGGTGTCTGCGGAGAGGGAAGTCTGGGAGTCTCTGCTTAGTCTGCTGCCCCTGCGACCCGGTTCCGGATAAAGCGGGAGACGACGAGTACGAGTATGTACTGTACGTGATACAGCCATTTGCTACACATAGCTTTGTTTTTGGTAGTTCTTTTCAGGAAGGCTGTGTTGAGCAATTTTACCAGCACATTATGAATATTTTAAATGACTAAAACTGGAAGTTGTGGTTAATTAATACGCCATTCAAATCAAGGGTTACACTCATTATTACTAAAATGACCATAACAGTAATCTGCTTACTTGACAAAGCTTTTTAGTCTTTACCCAATGTTGGACTCCTGGACCGGCTGTAAAAATTCAGTGTATTTTTCACCTTTGGCTTTAATCATTTAAAGTATGGTTATCAGCAGAGTTATTAATCACTAACAAAGGAAATTGTCTCTGTTTCTGTAACTATTGACTAAAAAGGAGTGGATCTGGTTCTGAGTAATGTCAATAATCCTAGACAACCACAGTAAAATAATGGCTCTTTATTATGTAAAATTCTTTGTTAAAGTATTGTTATGTTTAATACAGTAGCTATGCAAAACTACACACTTCTTAAAATAAGGAGAAGGTGAATGAAAGGCTAATAAAAGGCAGAAAAAGGGGGTCTGAGGGTCTTTTGAAAATGTCTCTAGGGATGTTCAAGTTTAAGGCTTGATGAATTAATGGATTTAGGGATGTATTTTAAAAGAGCAGCAGATAAATGTGACTGATGCAGAGATCTTAAATGCATTCAAAAAAATAAAACCTCATTCAGTTTTAAACTGAACAAAGAACAAATAATCACAATGCATTAAAATGTAGCAGCACTGAAAACCAATGGATTAATTCAGATGACACATAGCAACAAGATGGTTACCTTAGCTAAACTGTGGCCAGGTTAGAACAAAGGGTGATAAATTTCACAACATGGCACCCTCCGTGTATACACATGGCCAAAGGGAAGTAGCCTGAAGCAAACAATGCCTGCTGCTCAAACCTTATCACACTAATTCTCAGGACAACAGGCGGAAATAGACAATGATGGGGACGAGAGGGAAGCCTACAGTACCAGCGTCAATCGTTGCACATTTGCAGCACACATGCTCATTCACACACATGCTTCATTAAGTCAACATTCAGTTCAAATTTTTTTTGATAGAAAACCATCAACATTTGAAATTAAGGATATTTTATTCCAACTCTGGTTGAGAAATCCCTGTTCGTTAACTTCAACAAGCCCTCAAAGAAACGTGAATTAGTCATATGTAATAACAAAGGGAACTTTGTAGAGCTTTATTTTGCTTCATCACGCAGTGACTCAGATCCGCAGCTGACAGCTTCTAGGTAGTGCCAAAACCAGTGGTTGTGTTTCGCCAGCTTTACAGCGGCACCTCGGCATACGGGCGGTCGGGCTGCGACTGATCCGGGAGCAGCAATTAGGGGTCGACCAGGCAAAAAAACCTTCAGGCAGGCGGGATTGCAATGAGAGCTTCTATGTTCAGCTGGTTCTGAATCATAGGCAGAAAGCAGTCTGTTTTCGCCAGCAAAAATTAGACTTCTCCAGAGGGAGGTGGCCATTTAATTTGGCTTTAGCTGAAGATTGGTATGTCCTGCCAACAGACCCAGAGGTTACAGGGCAAAAAGACCAGTAAGCTTTTTGCACCGTGGATTTACAGAGACATGTCAGGGGGTTTGGCTTGCTTATGTGGTGGGCTCGCTTACATCATAGATATCTGATTCTGCAGCATTTGTTCCATAACCGCTGTAGTCCATGAGGCAGGGAGAGCATCAACCACCTGATCTGGCCAAGCAGAATTTCACTCTGGAAAGATGTTTTTACTCGGCTCTACGTTGGCCCTACCTTTCACATACCTCACATACCTGAGCTATTTACTATATTTATGCTGATATATGTTTAGGCTGCAGGATGACCAATTTTCCTTATTCTGTGTTATTATCTCTGTTCTCCCATTCTGCACTATTGAGGTCATAACTTTATGATCTTTTTTTTCCTGTCATATTGGTGTCATCTGATCTGTTCCTGTTCAGCTTTGACTCCATCCTGGATTGATCTCTGTATATAGACGTTGGATCTGTTCTTCAGTGCTTTTTATTTGACTAACTGTAAATGCTCGCTTTTCATCCTCTGGCAAGGGAACTGGCTCAGAGATCGTCTGTAGGGCCTCTGCCCCTGATCCCCACATTCACTAGATCTCAGTTGAGTGGAGAGAATATCTAAGGTGTGGAACAGCCAGATATTCACTTAATAGATTTACAGCAGACAAATCTCTAGAAGCATGTAATGCATTAATGTCAATGTGTATCCACATTTTCAGCCTAACATGGTGATTACAGTGTTTGCAACAAATTTTTGTTTCATCAGAGGGGAAGCTTTTGCAAATAACAGTCGGCCCATGAAAGGTTGGCATTAATGTGAAAAGTTCACATGCCAACAATGTTTCACACCAAGCTAAAACCTTTTATATGCTTCTGACTATAGCTTTTTCTTTCTAGTAAATGATATCCGGAGGTTAGTTACATGTTAGATTGAGCTGCTTGTCACAGATTCCTTTCACACATTAGATTTTCTAATATCATCTTTATTTGGCTCCAAGCAGTACAGTAGGTGTGAGAACTACATCTGTAAGTTTCTGTCTGCAGGACATTCATGCTTCACATAAACATTGAATGCGCAGAGTATATTTATTCAAATCACATCAAACTCACACACACTGATCTTTTTTAGCCCTGCAGTCCTATTTGTGCTAAAGGTGACCCCGTACAACCGCACTGAAAAATACCTTTAGTAAGATATTCTAAACAAACTAAAGAAAAGCACTAGTTTTGGTGGATTTTGCAGATTTAGTAGCAAAACTGTACCAAGTCGAGGCAGATTTTCAACTAAGATTTATTTTTCTCTCGGTTTGCTGAAAAATAAGGAAGGAAAAGCTACTTTTACTATTTTACATAATTTTACAGGGCATACTATGTTTCTACTTTTGGATCTGATCTTTTTTTTTCCTCACCAACTATTATTTCTAGCATACTACCTACAAGGTTTTGCCATTTTAACTAATCCTTTGTTAAGCTCGCTCGCAAGCAGATATTTTTGGTCTTTTCTCTGTTGGAAAATGATTGAAAGATGGTTTATCTACCTCCCAGGCACGACTACTGCATCCATAAGCAACATAAGACTCTGGTATTAGGACACATTTTGCAGTAGGCCTATCTATACACAGTCAGAACTAAATAGTTGTTTACTCCTCCTGTAATTAGTTATTACTACTATTAGTTTACATCATTTGATCTTACCTGGGAGAGATGTCACAGCCTTGCTGCATGAAGGCCCCAAGTGAGAACCAGAGAGAATTAAAGATCCCAAAATCATTGGTGTGTTCAGGGGTTTCTTTTTCTTTTTGTTGGTTCTGGTTCGGATTTTGACCTTGAGAGTAACCTGACAGGTAGAAAAGATAGTGGAACCTGATTAATTAAACATATTTTTGTTGTGAGAAGAATTGCAACAACACAGTTGTAGGCTTATTAGACAATAATATTGTGGAGATACCTAGAGATTGAGGGTCTTCAGAGGATGAAGTGGGTGGAGCTCGTCGAGACCCTGAAGATGGGACAGTTTCATCTTCTTCATCAGACTCGTCACTCTGCCACTCATAGGGACTAAAACGGCTCACCTGCAGAAAATCATGAAAATTACCAGACTGGACCAGCTCAACACTTAATGTAATGCTTAACGCAAATAAATAGACTCACTGAATACATTTCATTAAAAAAAATCTCATGCTGAAAAGGTTTGCTTTCTGATACCTGATGTAACAGGAAACTTTTGCTGGAGCTTTATAAAGTATAGATCTTACTTACAATTTTACAGAAAAAAAGTCTCAGCAAAATAGAGAGATTTGTAAACCTAAATCTCCCAGAGATATGAATAGTATTGAGCTTTATTATACATAAAAGGGGGAAGAAAGATCAAATTTGTATATGAAAGGATTGATTTAAAAGTAAATCGCATACATGCCCTGTAGCATAGTCCATTTTATAGCAAGACTTAGAAAATACAATGAGTAGGAAATTATGTCTGGGAGCGGAAGGATTATGGGTCATAGTCAGGTCTTTTGTGGTATAAAACAGTGCTGCAGTTTGATAGTTGTTTAGTCCACAACTCTAAACCACAGCATCTAGTGACCCATCTAGGGTCTTTACTATATTGCAATGTTAATAATTATTTAAAAAAGAAAATAAAAACATCAGCTTACTTATATGTTGTTGTTACAGTATAATTTAGCTCAGTATTTGTTGTGTAAATCTGATAAGAAATGCCTCAGTCATCTGTAACTTTTTACATTATGCCATTTCTTTCCAGCCTCATTCTACTTTATAACCTGAATTGAACCATCTACTATGCATCTACTTGACAATGACACATCAGTGTACCTTTTCTTGCAGTTATTTTATAAAAAAAAGAAATCGAAATAAGATTAAAAAATCTCCAGTAAAATACAATTTAAAACCCACTATTCAGTAGTCTACTTTTATATTTTTAGCTAAAGATCCCTTTTCATATCTTTCCTCAAAATAACAAAACATAACTAAAAATCTTTTTTTTGTTGAAGGGGGTGCAGAATGTCCAAAAGACCGGTAAAAAATGTAAATAAAAAAGGCCTGTTAAAACAAGCTTGAAAGGTTCAGCTTAGCCAACTGGACGTGGAGTTTTCTAGAGGTTTCACCTCTTTTCCAAGAGGCTTGTTCAGTTCTAACTAAGCCGTTCAGTGCAAGAAAGGGTGAACAGACCTTTACTCTGGAGAGAACAAGCAACCCCTACACAGGCACACGGCTCAACACAGGAGGAAAAACTCCTCAGGACAGGACTCAGCTATCCACCTACACCTGAAGGCTAAAGGACATTTGTTGAGGACAACAAAGTCCATTTTCTGGCCAAGGAAGAAACATGGTTTGAGTAAGGGGTTAAGGAAACCATCTTTGTTAACCTGGAAAAAAGCATTTCTCACCCACTTGCAAAGCACTTTTAGGAACAATGCCAAGAAGATCCACCTCTCACCTGCCCTCACCTGACTCACACTTCAAAGAGGCTTGTGACCAAAAACACTCTGATGAGGGAGTTAACGGCCAATCAGAACCCCTTGACAACAATTAACCCCCCAGGTGACCTCGATGGCCAATCCTGGAGGAGGGATCAGAGTCAACTTGTGTTTCCCCAAATTCTTTGTTACACTTACAGTATATTAATCTCAGTTCTCCCCACCATTAGTTAGAACTGAAGAAGCCTCTTGGATAAGAGGCGAAACGTCTTCTAGAAAACTTCACAATCAGTTGCCTAAACTAAGGCCCCGTCCACACGAAGTCAAAACGAACACGAAACGCTAATATTTTCAAGAACGTTTGTCGTAAAGACGGAGACGTAAAATAAATGTGATCGTCCACACGAATGCATGAAAACGCTGCAAAATGTATGCCAGGCCTGTAAGTGGCGCTGTGGTGCCAAAGCAAAAATAGGCGACGAAATGTTGGGCATGCGCACTAATATTTATACATGGTTGCCCTGCGGGTCCATTTTCGTGGTTTAGTCAAATTCAGGTGCTGAACTATGTCGTCGATATTGCTCTGTTCTTCCTGGAGATATTCCAGAAGAAGAAGATTATGTTGTAAGCCCGACAGCAGGGTGAGTAGCATGAGCAGCAACCATTCAACACAGTACGGCGCCATTGTTGTTGTGATACTGTGTCGTGCATGCGAGGTGACGCTATGACGCATGCGTGTAAAAAAAATATGCGGTTAGAGCTTAAAGATGGAAACGCGAAAACGGCGTTTCAAAATCTTCCCACACTAAAGGCCTGATAAAAAAAAGATCGTTTACAGACCCCCGAAACGCCGGCTTCGTATGAATGAGAGGCTGGTTTGGTGAAAAATTTGTGCGTTTAGGCCAGGGTTCGGCTTCGTGTGGACGGGGCCTAAACCTTTCAAGCTTGACCATGACCTGGGTGAGTGAGAATCTTCACAGATAAGCCTATTAAAACACAACTAATGTATTTCTGAGTGTATCAAACTCATCACTGGACTTAATAAAAAATATCTTTTCACAGTTAGAATAATTTTGAAAATTATTATTAGTTATAAAGTTGCCTTTTGTATCTCTGCTTCTTTCTGTATGTCTGCTTCTGTCTCCTTGAACCCCAGTCAGCCTCAGCAGATGGCGGCTCACACTAAGTTTGGTTCTGCTGGAGGTTTCTTCCTGTTAAAAGGGAGTTTTTCCTCTCCATTGTTGCTACATGCATGCTTGCTGTGAGGGATTGCCTTCAGGTCAATGAGCCGATGCAATCAACTGGTTTTCCTTAGATAAAAAACTTTGAATCAATTTTACTGTGTGATCTAGTTGAATTGTAACGTGCCCTGAGATGACATGTGTTGTGAATAGGCGCTATATAATTAACTGAACTAAATTGAATTGAAATTACAATGTGCAAGGAGTTTTATGTTTATCACAAACAGGTCAACAATTTTAATTGAATTATTTAATACCGTCAAAAGCAAAACGAGCAACAAACTCATACCAAGTTCTTGACAACTCCAATGTTGTTGAATAATTCGTTTATAATGAGTTTTTGACTATGGGATAACTGCACAAACCCCTATTTTCTGAAACTTTGATGTTTAAAGTTTGTTTTTAAGATTTGATCATGAAGTCCACAATGTAAACAGTTACATCAACTTCTGTCATCATACCAGAAAGAGCACCACGCTGACTCCGATATATGCGAAAACTATACACATCCAGATCTCGTAGGCCAGCGGGTCAAGAAAGGAAAAGACGCCTGGTTTGGACTTGGTTGGTTTCTTGATCATAATGGAGATTCCCAGAGACATGAAGGGTTTGGTGAAGTCAATCACCTGCTCTCGAACAAGAGTGATGGTCAGCGGGGCGACAGCCATGTCTGCCTTCTGTAGGAAGACACAGACAAAAATCACTCAGATGAGGTCTTTGTCCTTTAAAAACATGATTTTTAGGTGCAAACAGAAACCAACAGACATGTTCACTGACCAACAGCGAGAACATCTGCAAAGCTGTCACTGCTGATATGAGCATGAAGCTTAAAAGATGCTTTTTAAACCACTTGACCTAACTTTCAACAGCAATTTCTTTGCTCATGTGTAAATATGTCAGGACGATAGATCCTATGTATGTCATAGACCACATGCTTGCTTTATTTTTTTTATCTTTTCTTTGATACTGTTAATTTATTGTCTCTCATTTGAGAAAAGGGTTAGCATAAAATTAGAAATTTGTAACAAAAATATATTTTAATCGTACTATTGTTGACACTACTGATTGAGAAATATAAATTACTTAACTCAGATTTCTTTTATGTCATACTGTATTAGAGCTAATAATGTGACATACCGGACTGACATGCCGACTTGTAAAAACCATCCAAAATCAGACTAAAGCCAAAAGATAATAATAAACAACAAAAACTCATGTTGCTTATGGTCCCGTCAATTTCATTCTCAAATATCTGTTTCTTAGTACATTTTTCTTTGGGAGCTTTAAGATGCGTTTAACAGCAACATATCCTCAACCATTATTTAAAAAAAAGAAAATAGTGGTCTTTCTCAAATCAAGAGAAGGGATGGTCAAATAATTAAGAAACTCTAACATAAGATAATGTTACATTTAGATATTTTAAATAAACAAAGCCTGTGTATATATTTGAGAGGACTAATAGTAGCAGCAGCACAAGCATAGGTTTGCATAGGGACCTGTCCCTACCAAAATTTTGGACTGACCTACTTGTCCCTACCAATAATTCGATGTGCATAACATGCTTATAATATACAATACAGCATTAATGCAGCAGTCTCTTCTTTTCCTCTCGCAGCTCCTCTCCCTGGTAGCTGCTGCTAATGCCTGCGCGGTCTTCCCTGTCCCTTTAACCTAGCAGTGCATGTTACTGTGCTGCGCCATTTAACTTTTTTTTAAATAATTTTTTTGATTATTGTTATTATTATAAACCATCATATACAACAGATAAGGTATCGGATTAGATGCATATAAACCTATAAAACCTGGAGAAGGTGACCCAGGTTGCTTCTATATTTACAGGACAAATAGGACAAAAAAAAAAAAACACAAAAAAGTGCTGCGCTGTTTAACTCCACTCCTAATTTTTCTGCCTTAAATTCCGCCTTCTCTCTTCCTGATTGGCTGTTTTCCATTCTGTATGTGTGTGTGTGTGTGGAGCATGAAATTTTTTTTTTTTTTTATGCTACAATACCGTGGTTACTCCAATTAATAATAGGCTACAAAACTAGTCCCAATTAAAATTTTTTTTATAAAATCTACGCTAAAACAGGCAAAATCTGCTGATTGTAGTTCTGTAAAGAAGCCAGAGAGAGTCTTTTTATTTGTGGAACCAACGTTAGCATCTCAAAATAATACTTAGTTCTTAAGTATAATAGAATTTATCGACAAAAACCTTTTTTTTCTTTAATAAAACTAAATATTCCGAGTCAGACAGAAGTTCTGAAGACTGCTGGATAAAATGGACAAGCAAAGACTGTAAGCTATCAAAAATTCTTATTCTTAGCCACAGCCAACTGAAAAAGAAAATGTGAGGGTTTCCCTTTTACAATACTTTGTTGCTATTATTGTCTTCATTTTATGATGACACTTTGAGGCAGTTAAGGTATAAATACCAGGTGTTATTTCTTTTATAAGGTATTACAACATCTAAACATATGCTATTTTTGTTTAAATAGCAGAATTACGGTTCCTAATAACACTAGTGTTATTTCATTGATTATTTCTACTTCTAGAAATAGGATAAAGACAATTACAAACAGAGGAACACTATTTACATTGATTTCAAAGTTTCATTTAATTCTTTAATATTAAAAACACACTTGTATAATGGTGACATTATATGATTATAGGAAACACAGATATCCAGTAATAGTGATGCAGGGCAGCTTGATGTTGAAGCAGCTGGCCCTTCAGTGCCTCAGATGATGTCTAAATGATTTTAATTACAAATTAAGGAGCAGCTTTTTTATTACTATACAATATAAGTGTAATGAATTTAGGGAAGTCAAACAATCAGTGGTTATGTTGCACCAGTGGCAGAGAGAGAGAGACGTGTCCGAACCTTAAGCGCTTCAGGTGAGAGATTAATTTTGTTTAGTATGAGTAATTGGATTCTGTGATCTCTTTTGAAGCTCACAAATGATGCCACATTAATTTTAGTATAATTTGCCTGATTTACGTCTGTTTGGTTGGCTGCTATCTCCACTTCAGATGCATTATGTAAGAAGTATGTTTGCAATGTTACGATAAAATTAGGGCTACAACTAACGGTTATTTTGCAAATCGATTAATTTGTGGATAATTTTTTTCGTTTAATTGATTAATAATTGGATAGCCAAAGGTTTAACCAGGTGAAACGAAAACGTTTCCTCTTGAGGAGTTCTAGATTGAGAACATTGACAGACAGAAAATTGTTTTTTTATTTTAAATGTAAAATGTTTATATATTTTTACAATCTTGGTATAATTACAGCTCTAAGGGGGTAGCTCTGTGAGCTAAACGCACGTTTTACAGTCTCTACTGTACTCCTGTTAATGATTAATAAATGACTAAATTAGTTGACAATTAGTTGATAATCTAAATAATCGATTAACACAATATATTTTGTTCAGCCCTGGATCAAATACATCAAATGGGCTACACAGAGTAACTGCAGCCCAGATGTACAACTTGTATAGTGATATTTTAAATGCTCAGTGTCAGTTCCTCTTCTAGTTCCAGTGCACATGTAAATACAATATATTTAGTTGCCGTCCCCTAAATACATTATTTTGCTTGATTCAGAGAGAACATATTAGATAAACAAGTAAGAGTGGGGTTTACCTCTGCACAGTTCTATATAATCAAAGGAAAATACAGGATAAATCCACATATAACAGACATATTTAGACTATATTTGTTTAAATAGATACATATTTACCTTCTGTCTTAGTCACTGGTAAGTTCAAATGCAAACCTTTTCAAAATGGAAAAAAGTGCTAATTCCACATTCGTCAGAGCCAGTGATGCTTCAAACGTTGAAAAACAGCATCTAGTGTGTGAAGTGCTAATTAAATTTTTATTAATGTAGCAAAAAATGCTGCTTTTCTCTTTAAACGAAATGCGCCCTGATGCTCACGTCAAGCATAAAAAAAGAGCATGTACAGTTTTGCATAGGACCAATGACATAAGACCAATGAAACTTAAGGCCAATAGTGTCCCTACCAAAGTTTAAATCAAACCTATGCCCTTGAGCAGCAGCATTTTCCCTAGTTTTCGCAAACTTCAAATTTGTAATGCCTAGGATGCAGGAGTTGTTTTAACTTATATCTCAGAATTTAAATACAATAAAATTGTATTTTCAAGGGGCAACATAGCAAAGAAGGTTTGAAAAGGTTTAGCATTAGAGAAAACAATGCAAGTAAAACCACTATGTTGGCAGGCTGTACAAACAAAAAAACTATGTTTATTTAGTTTAAATTAAGTCATTTCTCTGAAATATGGACTCATTACTACTAGATTAGCCAATCAGTTTATTTGTCTAGGATTTAATAAATGCGTTACAGTAAACTCACCCCATAGACCAGTTCTCCCACCATGCCATTCCATAACTTTGATTCCGCATCTCTGGCGCCATACTTTCCATCCGTCACCAACTCGAGGCTGTAGGTGAAGCCAACATGTTTGGCGATCTCGGCTGCTAGTTCAGCACAGTAACCTTCATACTTTTCATTTCCCTTAAGCTGCTCGTGGTTCTTCTTCAGCATCATGTAGGGAGCTTCCTGTGACCACATCAACAGAAACGGAAGGGGATAGCTCACCACTGCTCATATTTAACCAATGTTTTTTTTCATGTGTGTTTTTTTTATCCCTCACCTCTTCCCAATAAACATGGTATCTTGATCCATTTAGTAATAACAGCAACAAACTATGGCCATTTTAGCCCATACAGAAAAGTCAAAATGACAAACAGGGACATCTCACTAAATAATTAAACAGTTAATTTATTTCAGTAACAAAATCTTTAAACACATTATATAGATAAATACTTAATGAAAAAAATATGTTTATTAACTATTTAAAGACTTTACAGGTCAGAGAAGATTTCCTGCCTTAAAGTGTTGATATTGACATTTTCAAGTTTTGTAGACCAAAAAGGTAATACTGATGATCAATGTAATAATTTCAATGGGGCCTGCATAAAATAGTTTTTATCAAAACTATGCCACTCAGTAACTGTAGGCTAGATGTCTGCTCTGGATGGTTCCGACCTGTAAGGTGTGGTGCCTCCATATTCCTCAGCATCTCTATCCTTTGCTGAGCTTAAACTCAGCAAAAACCAATCCAGACAAGATGTTTTGGAACAATTATCAATGTTTCTATCCATCTCCATTATAGAATAGCTAGCACCAAAAGTGTTCTCCCTCTAACATGACCACACAGAGATGGGCTTTTACTAGCTATTAAACAGGCACAAATATTCTACTAAAAGTAGAATATTTGTGTTAAGAATAAGCCTGTTTAATTCCTAATAATTCCTGCTACAGGATATTAATGTAAAATTACATAAAACCAATATCACATCATCAACATTTAAGTGTAGGAGTTATCTTGACAACCTTTTTATGAGTGAGTAGAGAATGGAGCCGAAGGTCGACAGACACAGTGTACGGTGTAATTCAAATGCTGCACCAGTCTCTTGTTATGAAGAAAGAGCTGAGCAAAAAAGATAAGGTCTCAATTTTCCCATCAATCTATGTTCCTACCCTCGCCTATGGTGGTCATGGTATCTGGTTCATGACTGAAAGAATGAGATTACAGATACAAGCAACTAAAGTAAGTTTCCTCTGCATTGTGCCTGGGTATTCCCTCAGAGACAGGGTAGGGAGCTCTGTAATCTGGGAGGGCCTCAGAGTAGAACCGCTTGTCCTCCACATTGAGAAGAGTCAACTGAGATGGTCCAGTCATCTACTTCGGATGCCCTGTGGACGCTTCTATTTAGTGGGAGGTGTGCAGGCATGTTTCACCAGCAGGATGCCCAGGGGACAGCCCAGTACCCGCAGGAGGCACTATGTGTCCCTGCCGGCACAGGTACACTTTAGACCTCCCCCTAGAGGAGCTGAAAAAGGTGTCTAGGGGCATGGAACTCTGGGAATCGCTGCTAAGACTGCTGCCCTGCGACACAGCCCCAGATAAGCCAAAGAAGACGAGTATGATCTAGTCAAAGGTTATTATGCTTTTTAATGAGAGGAAATAGTTGGATCAATACCGACTGAGTGATTAGCATGACTATATCATTTAGTCAAATTGAAGATAAACAGTATCCTGGTCTTACCAATATGGTGGTAATAATGTAGGTTTTGTTTAGCAGACCAGCATTCAACAGTTCTTCCGTCAACGGCCTGTAGACAGCTGTGTTTACGTAGCCCCTTTTCTCATTCCAGTGGCCAATCTAGAGAAAAATGGACACCCGGATCATTAAACTGGGAAACAGAAGCAACTATGCTGTATTTAAGAATGTTGAGTAAGAAAAAAAAAAGATTTATATACTGTATATTTTGTAATAGAAACATGGATATGTAATACAGGTACCTATAATCCCTTGTTCTTGCCAGGTCTTAAAAAAAGACCAAAGTAAACTTATGGCTGATTCAACCACCGAGGTGTATATGTCAGGGCCCTGTCCTATTAAACGGCACTAGCCAGATTTCCTAAGGTTAATTTGGCTAATACAGGTTTGACATAAAAACTTGGAATAGTACTGTGAAGTTTTTAATCAAGACAACCCAGGGAAAGGAATTCTAGATATGTTCAAGTGAAAAAGTAGCCTGGCCGGCCAGATATGTTTTACAGGGTCATAAGTCAGTCTGATAAGGCTCAAGACTCTCCAGTCTTTAAACAGACTGGACAAATCACATTGGTAGAACAGTCCAAAATGCAGCAACGGTTTTCTATACAAATAACGGTCAAAATTGCAGCTGCATCAGAGTGATTCTTTAATGATGCCCTTTATAATGTCACAAAGGAGCAGTAAAGATCTTTAAAATATCAACAACTGGCTGCTGCAAGAGCTTTTCTTTTAAAAATAAGACATTATTGTGTCACATATGTAGTTATCTGATAAACTGCATCCGCTGATGCTCTTAGTCCCGTCTTAGAATTTGGGCTCTCCCCGATTCTTTCCAGACTTAAATGCTTTGTACACAAGTCCCTGTAGCAGGGCAGAAAAGCGAAATAGTCTATCTGTAACAGGAAGAACAATCACAATAAAGAGTCTGAATTAAATATGGTCCTCTTCAAACCAAAGACTATTGGATCAGTGCTCATGTGCAGTGGGCTAAATCACCTACTGAAAAGAGCATAAGTCTCATTGAGAGTTAAATGAATCATTTGAATATATACACAAAGGAATCATACAATGATTACAATAAAGCTAAGCCATGTAATAAAGACTTAACAAAGGCAATATCATGAACTTTGTAAACAATCCTACTTCAATAAAAAGAAATGTGGTACACCCATCAAGAAAATATCATATTTGTATTGCTATTTTTCAAAGATAAAAAAAACCCCACTCAACATTTTTATCTTAAATTGTACTGCAGTTGTTTATCTGCAGTACACATAATTTAATGAGAGGCTCACCTCACGTCTTACCTTCCCATCTTAATTTCCTGCCTGACCCAATAGTGTTCTTGTAATAAATCATCTTTATGTTGTAATTTTTTTTTAAATTAGCCTAAGCCAAACAACACCATTGCTTAAAAAGAAATCAAACCCCCAAATAGATTTAAAAAGTGGGTCTATGGTCATTGTCAGCTATAAGATCATTTTTCATTACATTCGTTTACTTTTATCATTACTTTAAGACTCTGTTTCCAGTTTGAAATAACCCTACTTAAACTTTAGTGTTTCTTTGAAAACTTAAAATTAGCGTTTCATATTCATTTCATATTTTATTAAATATCAAGTGACCCTTGGCAACCCTGTATCACTGTGGGTATGTATTCTGTTTTCAGATAAAGTGTGAAAGTACTGTAACTTCAAACAAAAACTGCTATCCAGTTGTTGTGGCTTACAATTCATCTCCTTAAAACTGTGATATGTTGTATGATCTAATAAAATGCAAATCAAGGATAATTGTTTTTTGTAACAATGAGTACTTAGGGTTTGAATTTAAAAGACTGAAGCAGAAAGTTATTAGTCTGCTGGTTTCCACTGAGCCCTTGCTGATTTAACTGATTATCATAGGTTTAATAAGGGTAAAGGCTAATTACTGAATTGGCTGATATTGCAGAAGCCCGTTAACTCTCTGGCCCCAACATTGGTTAGAAACTGGATAATAAAACAAAACAAAATAAAGCAGCACCTTTCGTGGCCCCTTGTGGCTGAGCTCCATCACAGTCAGGGTGTAGTTGGTACGATGTCCTCGCTCATTAAACTGGACATGCCCCGTCAGTCCTTCTAGACGAACCTTCAAAGAAAGTACATTATTTCCAGCCTTTTGAAACAAAAAGTTATTCTTATTTTTAAAAACGTTTTCTATTTATTTCAGTCAGCAGGCATAGGAATTTTGTTTTTTTCATTGTCTATTTTTTTCAAAATTAAGTAGAATATTCAGTAGTCTACAAAGTAGCAGAATATTAATATCCCCCTCATTTCGAAGTGATCCTCGCCTATATTGCATACCCAAATGGAAAAACAAATAGCTTAGGAACTGTAAGCCCAAATTACATGTGTGATACATTATTTGAAAGCTAACACCTTCTAGTTTCTGAATATTTAAATAGAATGGCCCAAGTTGGATCAGTTCAAACTTGACTCGAAGTTGTTTTTTTATTCTTGAAAACAATAGGGTTTGAAAAGCAGTAATAAAGACATGCTTGAGAATAGGCATATCTCATTCTATTACATTTGCTCTACATCATGTCAACCCAAAATGCTGAAAATGTAAGACCTGCATTTGTCTGGCACTGTTGTAGGTCTGAGAGATCTACAATTATGGGGCTTTGAACTTTTGATGTCACCAGCGTAATACTAAATCACTAAATCACTCCAAATGTGCCAAATTGTGCCAAATGCTTTTAATCAACTATTTGGCCCATATAATAACACTGAAGCATTTAGGTGACCACAAAACATTCATCAAGCAAGTAATTTCCACTTATTTTTTTTTTTTAATCGGTGTATATAACAAAATGTAACATTTCTAAACCTACAATAACATAAAAATCTATAAAAAAAAATAGTGAAACTGCTGATTTTCAAGCTAAAATAAACTCCAGTGCCTTTTCTGAGGTGTATTTTTTATTTTTATTTTTTCAGCCTTAGGCATTGTAATAAAACAAAATCAGTGTCAAAACTTGTTTTTATTCAGCTTCGAGCTGCAAGCATTGATCCACTCTTAGCTGTGTGCTTCACTCTTACGCAAGCCGGTAACACGGCTTTGCTTTATGCAACCCAGCCATGAATAGCCTTGTTTAAAACCTTATTTCATTGGCTACAAAGCCAAACAGTCCATGTGGTCTTAACCAATAACAGCAGGACTCTTTGAGGCGTAATATTGCTCTACTCGTTGCGTCATTGGCTGACAGGCAAGGAGCACTTGGGAGACTTTTGCGACTGTCCCTGACTCAAATCGACCCATACAAAGATGCAGACACTTTAGTCTTGCAGATAAGAAGACAATGTAAAGAGATAAACATCGTGGGAAAACAACTGAGGAAATAAGTATTAGGAAGTAAATATTAGCAAAATACTAAGCATTATCTTTTCTGATGTCAACAACTGGATGTTATGTGGCGATTTTCTCATCATGGAATCTTTTGTAGACTTGTCTTACATGTCTATAGTTGTAAACATTTACCGGTGTAATTTTCATGCGTTCTGAGTTATTGGTAGTAAACACTTTAATATGGTTCCCCCGCTACCCGGTGGGTTTGGAGAAATTAAAGAATTCCTATGAGATTATATTTGTCTCATTCAGTCTAGGTGTGTGAGACCAGAGACAGAAAATAACTTTGGTAACCTTGGTAAATAGTTTGCTGTGTTTGAGACATATAAACAATCACATTTGACTATGGCATAATACCTATAGTTTCAAATTTTTATTTATTTCTAAGGAATAAATAAAAAATTGAAACTATAGGCATTATTCCATAGTCGAAAAAGTACTAGGACGTATAATAAGACCACAGTGGTTTCCCGGATTATTGGTGTAATCTCTCATCTCAGTTTGAACCCTGTCCTTTTTAGTTAATTTACTTTTTACCTGTTTATTCCTGTAACAAGAATCTGCTGCATCAGCAGCTTTCGTGCATACCTGCTGCAGAGCTCTCTGGATGTCAATGCCTTGTCCCCATGGAGCTGGGGGGTTGGCTAAACACTCCCCTGCATTACCACGGCGAGAAATGTCAATGCGCTGCTGTCGCAGGTTCTGGAAAGCCTTCACCATAACATTGACGCCATCATAGGTCAGAGCTCCTGTGTACTGAGCAAAAAACATTTGAGGAATAAATTCTTCAAAATTTTTCTTCTATTTTCAACTGATGACAATTATCTATAAAAAAGTTAAGTAGTAAAAAGATATAACTCTATGCATCTAATATCCTTTTAAGACATACTTTTACAAAACGAGCCACAGAGAAGGTTTTAGTTTATTGTTAAGTTTTTGTCACTTTTTGGTTTCAGCCGTGAATATGGAACAGCCAATGGATAGATGGATGGTTGGTTGGCTGGTTTTGGGAGAGCCAGTAAAAAGTATTTTCTTTTCTGACAATGGGAGCATCAGACTCAACTATTTTTTTTTTTTACATAAATGAAAACATAAGTGGACATAGACTGGACTTTGGCAATATTCAGAAATCTTATCAAAGCATCCTTAAGTATCTGGATAGTTAGTTTAGCATTAGGAGCAATAGACTGACTTTTTTAATTGATTAACATAACTTTAGCAAAAAATATGTTATTTTTTCTTCTTCACACAGCCTAAGCACATACCAATGATATGCAACTTAGAAACGTTTTGTTTTAAAAAGAGATAGAACTGAATAATATCTGGAAGTGATTTAAAACATTTTCTAAAACATCACAGAAATGCCAAAGAGAAAGCAGTTTAACAGAAAAAGCAAGTGGATAAAGACAAAATGTATGGTTTTATAAAAGATATATAAAGACTGTGGAGAGAGCTTAGCTCAATTTGAGGCTATTTAAAACTACCCTCTTTGGTAAGTTNTATATATATATATATATATATATATATATATATATATATATATATATAGAGAGAGAGAGAGAGAGAGAGAGAGAGAGAGAGAGAGAGAGAGAGAGCCACTGCAATGCCTGTCACTTTTGAATCACTTTTCAACAAAGGAAAACAACGGAAGGCTGAAGCCCAACCCTTATAATGAATAGGCTTCACTCAGGTTTTTTAACCATGATGTTTCATGAATGTCCAAACATGGTTTAAAAATGCAAATAGATAATGAATAAATAAATAAAACCCCTTTCTGTGATAACTTCTGTTTTGTGTTTTTTTTTTTATTTTTTATTATCAAACTATTGGAATTCAATGTGAAAGCAGGGCCTTTTCTGTTATAGTTAACCCTATAAAGAGACAGACCTTATGAGGACCAAATGCTGAATCTAATGTGGAGGAACCCCATTTAAAACTTAAGAGTTAGTCATAAATTGTGTTACTTAAGGAATGGAAGACAACAGGAAGTTTTAATATTATATTCATATCTAACATTTTATTATATTTCTTGTTGTGTTTGTTCACCTTGAGCCTTTTCCGTGTTAGTTTAAGGTCTTTGCTGTCAAAACCCATCCAGTCCTGGTTGATTTTCTCTACAGCTGGGTGTGTCCGGTTTACCAGCTGGAAACCTGTTGCATTTGGTGCCAGCTTCTGAAACTCAGTGACATTCAGATCAAGGAAGCCCTGAACAAAACACACAAATAAAAGGAATAAAGAACATCCCAGATCTACAATTTTCATTTAATTAAATTTGCATTCAAATGTTGTAACATAGGCTGCAACCACTTAATGAACATAAATGTATCATGTCAGAATAACAAAAACAAATACATTCTTCCTTTAAAAGCTTTTGTAAAAAAAAAGTCAAGTCTAATCCCATATCTACCGGTAAGTATAAAAGTATATAATTTCCACCCATTTTCTTTTAGGTATTGCATGTAATATTAGCTCTAATCTCTGTTTGCTACATTTATAGTAAAATTAATTAATATATTTATAACAGATTGGCTGATTTGGTTTATTTGACATGCAGGAATTGAAATATTGATTTTAAATATTGGTTTTGAATCTTCACCTTTAAGAGCAGGAGATTGATATTTCTTCACTTTTTGACAAGCAACAAGAAAAAAATACTGGATACCTAGAGTATTTTATTGATCTTAAAGCTAAAATGCACAAAAACAAATAAATAAATAAATAAATAAATAAATAAAAATCAACCTGGAGAAACTCACAAAGAGAAAAGATGCAATTAGAAAAGTTTTATTTCATTCAATTTATTCATGCAGGTAACACAGATGAATGGGTAAATTTTTCTATCTAAAGAAAACCAGCTAATTGCATGGACTCATTTACTCTCTCAATTCCCTCACACATAGTATACATCTAATGCAGGGGAGAGGAGAACTCCTTTTTAACAGGAAGAATCCTCCAACAGAACCAGGCTCAGTGTGAGCAGCCTTCCGCCGAAGCCAACTGTGGTTTAAGGTTAGAAGCAGATATATAAATACTGACATAAGTGAAATAAGTTATTTGGCGCTCTGGCCCCGGCAGAAGACTTTGATGCTGTGTATCAATATTTGCTTGAATAAATAACCTAGGAAACTGATTAGAGTAATCTTCCCCCGGGGCCCAGACACTGGTGGTGGAATGAGCCAGAGGGCGAGTGGGACCGAGAAATAGCCTAAGAGTGAGGGAGAAGATGGGGCAGAGGTGGGTGAAAGTTCACTTTTGTGCAGAAGAGAATAGCCATGCCAGGAGTTTTCAAGAAGGGGATCTTGAAAGTTGATTGGCTCCAGAGAAGGTGTGGTCCTGGGACAAGTGGCCTCACAGGTGGTTCAGGTGAAGCTGATTGGTCTTCCAGATTGAATTTTTTTGCTTCAGCTACATTAAACGTTATTAAAAGTGTCCCTTTAAATTGAACTGAAACCAGTTTTACTCTTACTGGGTTAGCTCATCAATTACTTTAAAATAAACATGTCCTTACCAGGTTTGCCAGGATGAAATGGTAGTTCTTTAAATTTCTCTTCTGAGCTGCAATCTGAAAAAATAGAATAACATCATTAATCATCTGGTAACTCCTTTTTCCTGATGATTTTAAGAAAAAGAAAAAGCATCTGTCCCACATTAATCACACTCCTCTGTGCCTTTACATGTCTGACTTTTTCAAGTTGGAAGCTCTTTAAGAGACTAATTGTTCTTCATCACCATCAAAAAGAGATGGAATGAAAGCAAGAGGGTATCCTCAGATTTTTGAATCAACTGACAGATGAAGGGGATGAAAAGAAAGTAGCTGCAATGACAGGATGAGCAGAGATGGATAAATGGGTGATAAAGAGGAGGAAGAGCAGGAGGCAATGGGAAGTAAAGGAGGAGGAGAAAGAAGCAGGTGTTAGCCATTTCTTTCCTCAGAGCTCCAACTTTTAATGAGCATCAGTCAGTTAACGTTCACAAGCACAGCTGCTTGATTTTAAAGAAGAAAGCTTTTGAAACTGCCTTCCCTTTTCTCCTCCATCTTCCATTACCTTCTCTGCCTGTGCTGTGATTTATGCTATGACATATTAAGCTCCAAATGTAAAATATATTTTAATATTTTCCCAATAATCATAACAAAATGTTTATTCTGAACATGGGGAAAATATTAGCATTAAAATTGGGGTCTTTAAGCGTTAAGTTTCTTTCAAGACAAATCATACATTTTTTGCTCTGTTTAAAGAGATAGAAATTGTTTGAGCTTTAAGAAAAGTAACTCTTAAACTGGGGTAAGCATTGGCATGGGTGTTGCGATCATGAAACTTGGGTCATCTGCCTGAGAGGAGGTGCAGAGGCAGCCATTTTTCCCCTCATTGTTTTTGGGTAAAAATGCTTTGTTTTTAATAAAAATCGATATTATGAACTGAAAGATCAACATTACATTGGGCAGCTGAAAATCCTGATATACCGTTAAAGTGATTTTTTTCCCCCAAACTCTGCTCTTAAATGTGACAGTGTTTGGGGTATCCAAAAAGGTTAACAAAATCCAAACAACTTGACTTCAGTAGTTAAAGACCATTCACTCTTCATCCAGATTGTCCACTATTTGGAGTTATTAAGGAAGAGGTTCTAAACTTTAAGCTGGTTCGGAAAAGCTATTTTGCAAATTTGAAGTCATATGCAGATTCCCCTACACAGTCATGTATTGTTACTGCCAATGTTGACCAGGGATACATGATATGTTTGGGTCGCCTTCTATAAGATGTGAATTAGTTTGAAACTGAGCAGGCATCATGCTGAAGACTGATTATGTTTGTGAAAGTCAAAAACTTAGCTGGCTTCCCAATCCCTTTCAGAGTTAATTCTTTTTGTATTTGTATGCTGATCCCAGTATTCTACATTTAGGTAAAACCAAAGTAGTTGTGTAACAAAACCAGTTTTTGTCAATGATGAGGATGATGAAATCATTTCAACAAGCTACACATGGATCTTTGGTGACTAAAACATGACTACACTGTAGCTACAGGTTTGAGTTTTACTCAACGAGACGAGACTAGATAAAAATTAACGGGTCGTCGGTCAGACATTTAAAATGCAAGAAATGCAAAATGCTTTAGCAGAAATGCGACTTTACAGAGCTCTGAATCAGCGCTTCAACTCCACACTGATGGTACTCTCTCAGCAGTATGGCTCTTCCATCGCTACTTAATAAACTATGTGGCTGATCATCCTCTGCCAAGCGTAAAAAATCCCATTACTATTAATATCTTATTTGTTCCAGCTCACAAGAGGTGATAATAAACATTCTTTAATTTCTACCAAAATTATATCCAAATAACATATTCCATTGCATTCTGTTTATTTTTGGGAAATGAGCAAGATGAAAAGGTACATAGATAATTGAATATTTCTCTCTCATTGTTCTTGTTTCTATCTATTTAAATATGATGCAAATGTTTCCTTGTATTGTCATTTGAACATTTTCTATGTTTCCTTTGAATATTTCAACATTTTATTCATTCAATTTAGGTCTGGATTGCCAGACCTAAATTTAGTCAACTACCGGGTAAAACTATAATATCTCGTAATGGTTAAAATTTGACTAAAACTAATAACAGAAGTCTAAGACTAAATCTAAGATGGCTGTCAAAAACAACACTGAACAAAACAAACACTTGTAATAAACTTTTATTGATTTTGTAACAAATGTATGCATGATCAGACTGTGTAATGTTTAACCAATATGATAAGACGAGGCAGATTTAGTTTTAGAGTTAAGACGATTTGCTAATTTGTTTTAATACCTTGCAGTTTATGATTTATGAGGTTTAGGGGGCGGCAACAACAACAACAAGAAGATTGATCATCAAAATGACGTTTTCATTTTGAATTTGCTACAAAAGAATATTTATTGTGTTATTCATTGTAAATTTTATCTTCTTTTCAAACCTTTTTGCTGTAAAACAAAATACCATGGCCATTCTTTACCTAAAGGTTAAAAATATATATATTTTTTAATCTATGTTTATTTCAAGGATTTATAAGAAAACTGAAATAATGAATCAAGTTGAGTATGATTTCCCCCTGGACTGACCAGCCATATGTAACTCTCTGCGTACAATTTAGCACTGAATCTGGTCCTCAACTATCCTAGGTGGCAGATGGTCAGACATTTGCTTTAATAGTCTAAATCTTTCAGTGGATGTTGTAGAAGGATTCCCTTTTTTACTCTTCTGTCTCATTTATAACTCATTTTTTAAATCTTGCATTTTTTAAACTTACTAATCAGTAGAACTAATTTTGCATGTGCACAGACAGTGAACTTACCTATTAGACTTACATCCTGTCACCTCAAATCATCACCAGACAGCCAAAGTCAGTGGACCACCTGAGACTTGCCTGACAACTAAACAAAATTAACTAAAGTTGGGTAGAACTGCACCTGATCATTTAAATAGCACAAAACTAAACCACTGAACTGAGCAGAATCATTTAAAGCATCACACCAACACCTGGGACTCTGTTCAACTTCATTCTGGGAGAGTAACACAGGACTTGCGAGTGGTTTTGGGTCAAAATTCATGCTGAGAAGGTTTTACTGTCCCAAACCCATATAGTAAATATTTTTCTTTTATATCCTACCATCACTTTTTTTTTATCTGCCTTTAAGATTCATAGAATAAAATATTCTATATAATGCTGCAGAGAAATATAAATATATATTTCCCTCTCTTTCTGCTTCTGCTGATCCCAGCTATTGTTGAACATGATATAAAGCACATCTGTTACAACATCTGCAGCTGTGGAGCACTAATGTTAAGCATCTCTGATCACTGAACAGATAGTGAACCCAACTACTGGAACATGCATCACCTTCCTAAATATCTGTGTGCATTGGGATGTTGGACGAAGATAATAAGATATAAATTTCACAAAACCAGAGTACAACTGCTTCTACAAACATATCTGGATGTGAATGAGCACACTCTGCAGGAAAGGGCCAAAAGGGTTACATCCATTGACTTCTATTTGTAATGGGGAGTTTTTAGGGTTTCCTTTTATATATACTATGTTTGTGCAAGGACTTCAACATAGATATATTTGCTCTCACTGAAAATTTAAATATAATAAAATATATAAATATATTATATGAAAAAGTATGACAGAGTTTATTTAGAGTAAATGTCAATGAAATTATTCTTATTTTAAAGTCTTGATCAGATAGACAGTCTGGCCATATAAACTGTCTTTATTGTAGCTGGTTTTTGCAACAAGCCTTTTGAACGTAGCACCAATATAAAAATTTAGGTCTAAACTATTTGTGTCTGGAATGTGTGGGGTCTTCAGAGACTTAAGCTGCCCTTTTCCTGACCTTATACCTGCACAATTCCTGAATAGAGTGAAGATCAACCCTGAAGATCCTCTCTATGGACCTCTTTGGGACATTGTTTTTATGTAGCGTCGACCTGTCCTGTTTTGTGGATTAGGTAAACCACCCAGTGGTGGATGTGCACAAAGCAGACAGAATAGTGCAGAAAATGACAAGCAGCTCTTGTGCCAGGTCTCTAACGTACTGTCTCTGCTGAGCCCTTTATCACACAGTGTTGACAACAATTTTAATCACTGCTAGAACTTTCAATAATTGCCTGCTTTTATGTTTCATTTATTCTTGTTAATATGTATAGTAGGCTACTATAGAAAAGTCGTTGTTTTTAAAAGGGCTTTATAAATACATTTGTAACATACATACATAAGTAACTTTTCCCAGGGTATATTTCCAGGATCCAGTTGACCGGCTAGATCAACCATAGAAAATTTGGCATATTTTAAAGCATGTGTTTGTAGGTAGCCTATGAGCCTCCGCAGTCCAGCTTTTAGATTAGATCAGAGATCAGAGATATCCTCAGTTAATTTTTGCGTAACTATCTACTGTGCTAGATCATCTTGTCGTAAACATCTACTCCAATCTCTTGATCTAACAGGAAAAACTGTTTCTTTCCCAGTCAGACTTATTTACTGTGCTGTGAGACAGTTTCAAAGAGCAGTATCCCTTGTTTGGCCAGTACTGTCAAACTGACACCGACGCCAATGGGCTTTTAACAGCTGCTTAAAAAAAACAACAGCTGTTTAAGAAAGAAAAACAGGAACACAAAGAGACTCCAATAGAGCTGCTTTGAGGCTAAATTACAGACTAAGTGGTTACTGTAAATAGTGACATTGGAGCAGACAGCTTAGCCTTGTTTTTCAGGGTAGTTGTGGTTTAACAATTTTCAGCAAACCCCTCACATTTAATACTTGAATTCTACCTTTTTTTTCTAGCCATCTGGCTTTCCCAGTCTGGGCTGCTGAATATTAACGCCTCCTCTAATTCTGGTTATGATTTAGGGTCATCAGATCACTGCTGCATTGATCTGCTTGCATTTATCTTGCATGAATCTTTTTTGAGATTCACTAACTAATAACTATTAACTACTTCTAAATAACATAAACTATTCACCCATCCATTGTTCCTACCTTCTTATCCTTCCCTGTCTACAGCAGTCATTATGTAAGAGACAGGTTTCACCCTCTTACATGTTGGCAGCCCAACACTACGTCACACAACTATGAACTAAATCATTGAAATCTAAGCCAATTTAGAGAGACCATTTAAATAGCCATATTTTGTTTTTACTTTGGGAGGGAGTAAAAGTACCTGGAGAGACCCCACACATGCACTAACGCCAGCATGCTACACAAATTTAGGACAGCATGCAAAACCCCATCTAGAAAGAGCCCAGGCCCAGATTCTGACCCTGGTTCTTCTTGATGTAATGCAACAACGTGAATAACTGAACCACCATCAGGATACAGTATATACAGTACTGGAGTTGAGGGGGGATGCCATCCCCCTTCTAAAAAAAAATCTTTAAAAATTATGCTTCTTCTTAAATGACCATCCCCTGTGACATTTTCTTACTCAAGTGTAAAATTTCGACTATATATTAAGAATAATGGCAATGATATTCCCCTTTTAACATTTGGTGGGGTGCAGGCTTACTAGTAGCCTGAGCAAAATAAATAAAATCAAAGAAGTGGCCTACTATGACTATGAAGCTGATCCCAGTGGGAAATGTGTCCTCTGCATTTGTCCCTAACTATTTAGGAGCAGTGATAGCCATGCCAGTCCAGGGACTGACTGCAGTTCTACTGAAAGGTGCCTTGGTCATGGTCAAGGTCAATGACCGGGATACCTGACATGTAACAACCATACCATGCATATTGCTCTAGGTTAATAGACTATGCTTCAAATTGTGTGAAATAACTGATTTTTAGAATTTGTTTTATATGTATTAGAATATTTATTTTCTAATGTACATAATAGTTTGACAGTTACCAAGCCTTGATAATACTTTGTAATGGTGGTAATTGGAAAGTAAAGCCCTTTCAATTTTATCTTAATGGAGCACCATGTAATTTGGAGTGGTGATAAAAATAGGCATAATTGTTAACAATGATTACCCTCATATACCTCACAGCTATGGCTGGAAAACGCATGTTACATAATGCTAGATATATATGGATATAGATATATAGATATGTACAGTGTTGGGAAAGTTCTCTTTCTACGTGAACTAGTTCAAAGTTCAGTTCACACATTTTAAAATGAACTAGTTCAGTTCATAGTTCACAATTCCAAAAAACGAACTAGTTCATAGTTCTTTTTTTTCTTTTTCTTTTTTCATATATTGCTCAATTACACCATAGCCTACTGTAGAACCACAGACAGCAATTATTTTATCAGTTGTAACTCTGAAACTGTGCGTCAGATTTCATCTTCATATCCAGTTTTGAATCCTTATCCAACCAGGGTTTACATTAGCATTGAGGGGACAGCATTTCCCCATTGTTGCTTTAATGCTTTGTTGCTGTCCATTCACTTCACACTAGTAGCAGCTGCAGCTTTCACCCCTACAGTATATTCTCAAAAACATCAGGAAAAATGTGCTGCTTGAATGGTCTTTTTTATGAGTAATTATTAAAAGAAAAATAGGAAAGTAGTCTTTAAGGTGCAAATGTTTTTTTTTTTATTTTAATAATTTTTTCCATTTGAAATTCCATTTCAATACATACTAAAAAGGAATCCTGGAAAATTATACCAGGCAGGTTTAACAAACAAGTTACATGGATAGTAAAACCCTCAAGAACAGGGGTCTTCTTTTCCAGACCAAGGACCCCCAAACTGATGGCGAGATGGAGCGGGGACCCCCTATTTATATATATTGTATGAAATTGTGTCCTATAGTCACTCTATTACAGATGGAGTAATGTAAAGAAATTAATTTCTCCCTGGGATTATTAAAGTTTTTCTGATTCTGATTCCTGGTTGATGGGACAGGTGTTGTGAAGGAAACGGTGCCCAGCTTGAAAGAGCTCCTGTGTGTCGCTGAATGTGAGCATTGATGACTGAAAGACATCTTCTGCCTCCATTTATCTGTTTACTACAGTGCGTTGATTTCATGTTAATGAGTATTTAAAGACATTTCAATTAGTGGGGGAAAGAAATGCAGGGGGGGAATATAAAAATATCAACTAACCATGCAGACGCTCATGCAGTACCTCTGTAGACCCCCTAGGGGTCGCGGATCCCCTGTTGAAGACCTCCGCTCAAGAAGATTTTACTAACACAAACTGAGGGACCAGGCTGAGGTAGGAATTTAAGGTTACTGAAGTGCGGATTTTTTTACTGAAAGCCGGCGGGCAAACTTGTTGCCATCATCCTCACCGACCACCTGGTCATAAAGCTGTTTTAAGTCGCCTCCATGCTGTTGCTTCCACGCTGCATTTTGTTTTGATGACGCACGCGGCTGTAGGCTACGACGCTGGTAGCTGGTGTTGCCAGATTGGGTGTTTTTCCCGCTACATATTAAGGCCTGTTTACGGTGTGATTTAGCCGGGGTTTCGCCTGGAGGGCTTTATAGAAATCTGGCAACCTGTTAAACGGAGTTGAACTGAGAGAGCGTGCCGTTCACAGACGCCAGAATGAACGAGTTCACAATAACGTTCACCAGGCAATAATGCAGTATGTTCAGTTCACGTTCGCCCAAAATATGAACGAGTTCATGAACTTTCGTTCAATGAACGCGTTCAGGCACAACACTGGATATGTATATATCTATATATCTATCAGATATATAGCTAATGTTAGATATAAATGGATATAGTTATATAGATTTAGATGAAAAACAGTGGTGTTATTAACACCACAGTTGTTAAGGTGATTACTGCATGCCATGAACTAACTGAATTTACAGGGAATATTTTGTAATATTTCAGACACAGGTGCATTAAAATCTGTTCCCCAAGGTTGTTGCTAAGTCAATGTGTTAACACATAAACTGAAAAGTAGGAAACTGCTATAGTAGAAGTGGTCATACTGATAAGCTAATAAAGTTTATTATTAACTTGTAGCACCGAGTTGCTATTTTCCAATCAAACACCTTAGAGTCAGCAAGGGAATGCTTGAAAAATGGCAATATAAACTTTGGTGTATTTTATACTGGAGGTTAACGTTAAACAAATTCTGAACATGGCACAGATCACATCCAACTACATTTTGTCCCTTATTAAAAAAAAACTCTAAAAAGGGGATGTATTTTCTCTGTTGGTGTTACAGCTGCGAGTCAACATTATATGCTTGGGTGTTTAAGTGACACAAATACATTTATGTGCAGGGGGAAGCTCAACACAAAATCTGCCCAAAATGCTTTTTCTAAACCATTCCAAAATAGAAAACATGCTGGTAGATTAACTTCATCTATAATTTATTCTTTATGAGATGATGACATATTTGCTGTCTGCCAGCTCTTTGCACTTCGCTTTTTTCTCTAGAAGTTGTTCTGTTCTCCTCTCCTTTATATAATTCCTGAATACAAGGATGTGAAGACAATCTGGAGCTGAATCATAATTATTGACCAAGTACATTAGGTGGCAAAGATCAAAGGACAAATAAGTCAAATATGACAATTAGCCTCAAGCCACAAGAACAATAAATGGTTTAACCTCTATAAAGAAAAAGTTTTATATACATGGAAAGTAGGGCGGTTGATTCAATCCTGTTTGCTTTACTAATTTGTTTTATGTAGCTTTTAATAATTGGAAAGTTTTTGTGAATATGTCATTATCTTACCAGGTTTAGTATGTAGTTCAAGCGCTCCAGTTCACAGTTAATAATGATCTGAAAGTCCTTCTTGTAGTCAATGTCTGCCAGCATCTTGATGAAGGTCCCCTCTGTCATTGTGTCCAAGTTAACCGAGGTGACCTGCCAACTGCGCTCTGCTGCAGTGTCAAGTATCCTTTGTAGTACCATTAGACCTGAAAATGATAAAACATCTTTTAAATGATTTAATCGCCACATATACAAGTGTTCAAAGTACTGGTATACACTGACTATAATTCTGGCTGAAGCTTAATATCTTCAGTACCTATGTACCCTATGTATGATGTCCTTACTATGGTCCTGTGTCTCAGAAAATGAATTTTAAAATAGTGATTTAAAAAAAAAAATCTTTGGTATCACTTGGAATGAAACACATTAAATTAGTCACTGTATTAACATTTATATCCACAATAAGAACAGAATAAGATAAAAGAATCAATGAATAAGAATTATAGAGGAGCAGTATTGAGATCTTAGATTTTCTCTTCTGAATGTTAAAGTTGTCTTTTTAACTGTGCAGTACTGTGTTTATTAACCACATTGGTATTGAAAGGTTATAAATATACAAACATAAATGCTCTACTGAAATCTTATTGCATATCTCGTTCAAGATATCAACAGTTATGTTTAAGTATCACTGGGTTGAATGAAAGTGGGGCAATTTTCCAACTGTTGGACCTGTGGTTGAACCGGTCTCAACTAGGGCTGCAACTATCAATTACTTTGCAAATTGATTAATCTGTCGATTATTTTTTTGATTATTCGATTATTAATCAAATAGCCAAAGGTTCCTTAATTAAAGAAGACTTTTTACGAAATTAAAATAAAATATTTCCACTTGAGGGATCCAGGATAGAGCATATTTACAGGCAAAAACATTTTTTAAATCATAAATGCAAAATGTTTGTATATATATAATTTTTATTTAACACTTTTGATAAGATTACTGCTCTAAGTTATTTCCTCTGTCAGCTGAAGGCATGTTTTACAGTCTCCATACTCCAGTAAACGATTAATCAAATACTAAATTAGTTGGCGATTATTTCAATAATCGATTAATCCGTTTAATTGTTTCAGCCCTAGTCTCAACCCAAAACTGCAAAGACTGCAAGTGAGTACATACTTTTTTCCTTCTTCAAAATACTTTGATCTGATGGATAAATCACCAGACTTTTTTTTTTTTTTTTTTAAATCAAAGATTTTATTAACCATCAACTTTAGTCTGTATAAGTTTGGCATTTTTGTTGCGTTCAATTTAAGTTGACAAACTCATCCTGCTTCATATTCCCACCTACATTCCAGGACAGGTCTTTTTTCCTTAAAGACAGCAAACATATCACTGAAAGATTTAATGCAATAGTCTGAGTAGGCTCATGAAGCCAAAAGCTGAGCGATTTCTCCCCCTTTTTTTGAAAGCAGTCTAACTTCTGATATTTACAGTTTGCCTTAGGCTTGAGCTGACCCTGAATTAAATTTTAGAAAGCAGCTTCTACACATCGAGAGACAGCAGACCCGCAAGGGTCTCATTTTCATTCAGCAACTCAGGCCTTACTGAGAAATATAAATGAATAGTGACAAACTGTCTTAGACGAAATCTATCAGATATGTATTTTTCAGCCCAATTTTTTTAGCTTTTATGTTGCCTCCACGTCTGAGCCAAGATCAATTATTAGAGAAAAAAAAAGCCACTTCTTCAAATTCAGAAAATCAGTGTATTAGGCTTCTCAGATTAAACTATCACACAGCTGTTTAACCTAAAAATATTTGCCAACAAACCTAGTAAAATAAAAAATAAAAAACTTTTGAACATTATTGAGACTGTTTTTTGCAAAACTAAGAGATGCAAGTCAATAGTTATATCAACTCAACATCAAATTGCCACCAAGGAGAGAAGCATATATAAATATATATATATATATATATATATATATATAATATTGTTTGATCATGGGGATATAACATTTAAAAACTGTCATGATTCCTGGCACCAGTGCTGGTCTGATTCAGGATCCAACACACCTGTCAGCTCCGCCCCATTTCCAATCAGCCTCCATCAGATTCACCTGCTCACCTGTCTATATAACCAGCTTTCAGACCAAATGGTAAATGGCCTGTACTTATATAGTGCTTTTTCAAGTCAGGAGTCTTGACCAAAACGCTTTACACTAAATTTAGTCATTCATCCACACACACTCACAGCTACAGCTGCCCTGGGCTCATTGAGAAAAGCGAGGCTGTCGTAAAATGGCGCACCGGGCCTTCTGACCAACGTCAGTAGGCAATGCAGGTGAAATGTCCTGCCGAAGGACACAACGACACTGAAAGGCGGAGTCTGGGCTCAAACCAACAACCCTCTCATTGTACGTCAAATTCCTGCCCCGATGCCACTGTCGCCCTAAACCTGTCACTGTTGAGGTTTTGAGGATCCAAATGCAGAGATTAGTAGGCAGAGATGAGTCTTCCCGATTTAATGAAATACTGACAGTCAACTGAGGCGGAAATCTAAAAATCCAAAAAAAACGAATACAAAAAAAAAACCGGAAACTTGGGAGACATCAAGAAAACATACATTAGGAGCCAGGAAAAGACTGAGAGACAGAACAAAGATTGGACTAATGAGCTGACAAGTAACAGGTGTGGAGGAAAGCACCTAGAAGGAAGCCAAAGGGAAAGGAAATAAACTCATGGGGGGGAAAGAGAGAGAGAACTCAAGAACAAAACACTGCTAGAAAAAAAACTACAAATACAAAGAAACTAAAAATAAACTTAAACGGAGGACAGAACCCTGACAACACCAATCACTAGTGCCAGATTATTACAAGCTATCTGTGAGTTTAGTCCAGCATTTCTGTAACCTGATCCTGCCTCCTGATTATCTGAGCCTGCCTGAATCCTATTGAACCTGTCATAGTGTGTTTTTGGATCTTTGACCTGTTTTCTGTGCCCTGACCTCGCTCTTGGATTCTCCCCTGGATTTTCTCTGGATCTCAGATCATCTTGGTTTGTCTCTGGAACGGCTCTCGGATCCAGTACTCTGGTTTGTCCCCTTCATCATTCTGCCTGTCTCTGCTCTCACGGATCAGACCCTGTGTATTCCCCTGGACCAACAAGTAACTGACAAAGTAGAATTCCTCCAAAACAACCTGGACAGATTAAGGAATCTTCAGAGCTTCACCAGTGACGTCACACACCAACCGACTTCTTCAGAAACTCTCAAAGTTTGTCCCCAAATTCCTAGAGAGTTAGTGAACCAGGATAAAACACTAGAAACATTGTCCTCTGATTCTGCCTGGTCACCAAACTGTTAAATCTCCTTCCAGAAGTTCTGACTGCTGACTCTAGTGAATTCCCCCCGACATGCAGAACTGTTTATATTCCAATAAACTACTTAAACCTTTCTCGTTGCATCTGATTAAATTGTGGGTGTTCTGTTTTTTTCTGGTAATTATATGAGGTTTCTAATATTTCAGTAAACATTACTGTTTATAGTTGATTACAGCATTTGTCACTGATTAACTTTTAGGGTTTTATGTAAGATCACTTGTTTAGTTTTTTCAAGCATCTTTTTCTAAAATGGAATACTTTTATCAATGTAGTAAAAAATGTATATGCAGTGACATATCATGAAATAATTATAATAATATTGATATGATATGTATTACATAACATAATAACTGCATTTGATATATTATAGAATTAAAACATATATATAATTTTTTTTAGATAATTTTGAAGTTTTACATTTTATGTGTCCCCAGCATTCTGATTCTTTATTACAAGAGTTGTTTTGTTACTTTTATTATGTTATAAAAGATTACAGAATCACCAGAGGTCAAACATGGATACAACATTAAGGTCACAGAGCAGATGACAGTCCCAGGTCTGCTTGTGAAATCGAGGACAATGTTGTGATTGGATTTATCGGGACATACTACAGGCAGAAGGTTGAACATCTGGAACGTTGGTGCAAAAGAAAAAAAAAATGCGTCACTGTGTGGCACAGCAGTTACTCAGCATGAAAGAAAATGGAGCTGCAGGTAGTGGTAGAGAAAATCCAGAGGACTATGGGATGTCAACAACCTAATCATCTATACCTCTAAATGTAGGAGCTACTGTTTCATGAAGAAACCCCCCCTCCCATTACCGCACATAAACTGTTTGTCTCCATAGTTCCAGTTCTTCATTAACCTGTTATGAGGAACTTTAAATATGGCTATGTTATGATGTTAAGTTTATCTGATCAAATTTTGAACAGTTCTCACTTGAACCTGTCTGAGCACCAAAAATACTGCAAAAAAGGACATAGTGATAGTTACAGAATAAAAACCTGTTGAAGAATCAGAATCAGACCTACTTTAATAAGTATTACAAAAATACAAAAAATGAAATTCTTCAGGTTCCTCTATGGTAATCAACCACCTTATTTACAAATTGGCTTTCAGACAATGTTGCTCCAGCTTCCATTCTTCTCTGGACAAATCACCATATATGTAAAATAATCATGGGGCTCTCAGGAAGTTTTCTGACACGCACTAATAATTAATTCAAAGGAGATTTATTTGCAAAAATGAAAAGCAAAAATTATATACAGTTGCAAGGCTTCAGTGGTTCAGTTCTGTGGCATCTGCAGAAAGGAGAGATATTTTTTATGAGACAAGACAAACATTGAGAGGATAATTTCTGTCCTAATGGTTAATATTGGGGCTCATTGCATCAGAGTGAAGCAGGAACAGGAAAAAAAGTTATCCTAGAGGTAGAATCCACTTTGGATAATAGAAATTAGCAGATTGAACTACATGTAGACCTACAGGAATTAGAAGTTGCTTTAGTTAAAAGAAGTTTGAATGTTTTCTACCTTGTGTTTTCTAAAAGAATAGCATTTTCTTGAGTTTTAACAAATATGATCTCAAATAAGTAGATTCTAAACACCGACAATGAAATATTCTGTAATCTTTTAGTGCGTATATGTATACTTAGATCAACAGACAATATCGGTAAAAAACAATTGTACTAAATGACAAGAGGTTGTTTGGGATTAAAACTCTCATCACCCTATCTGACATCAAGGTTTCCCCAACTGGCTATAATGATCAGAGTCTTGAAGGGGAAAAACTTGTTTTTTTTTCAAAAGGCAGCTGCTAATTACTGTCCATAA